ATCGCAACAGTTTTAATGAGAGGAAAACACATTCTCAAGTAAATTAGAGAGTAATGACATGATTAAATGGTAAATAACAGTTAAATACATGCTTGGAGGTCCAGGACAGAGACTGTGGAGTTTTTGTGTTTTGCGTGTATTCCTCTCCAGGCTGCTCTGAGTAGCCAGAGGAGCTCACCAGAACTCTGCCTGTAATTTAGGGTCGGATTGTAACTTTTAAGACACTGAAGCCGAAAGAGCTGTTGGGGCCCCGCTGCTGAGGCTGAGAAAGCTGAGGCTTTCTCCATAACTCCAAAGCTTTGCCAACCTTTTGGTTGTTGACGTGTCCTTGTTCCTCCACCAGCCACCTCCCCTGAGCAATGGCCAGCGCCAAGGCTCTGCTCTCCTCAGCCTGCTGTCACCCAAAAAGTGACTGTGCAGGAGACATCTGCTCTCCTTATGCACAGCGGGGGAGATGGAAGGGGTCTGTCTTCTGCTGAGGCAGGTTTAGTCCCCACTAACGGGGTGTTTGCACATTTGCTGGCAAGCAAATTGAAGTTGCATATAATGATTGTTCGTGCAAACAAGGAGTGCTGTGGTGCTGGCTGGGAGTGTACCCCGTCCATATGGTTCCTTTCCCTGTCTGCTGAGGAAAGGATGTGAAAAGAATAACATTCACAAGTTGTCTTCATTCTCAGATGTTTCTTTCTCAAAATGGGAGGCTGTACATACAAACTCTGACTTGTTAGCTTTACTTTGTCCAGCTGTAATACACAACACAGTTGTGTGATGAGTCCATTGGAGGGGAACTGGCCTGGTTCAGAAGTCTTTTACCTACTTTCTGTTTGCCACTTTCCATTTCAAGTTGTCAGGGTAAGGATACCACAAAAATGGAAAACTGAAATAACTCCAGGTTCTCTTTTTATAGGGTTTAACACTTTCTTGGTTTTCAGTAAGTCCAGGTATAGTTGCTCCAGCAACTTTGGTCAAATGAGGCAGAAGCTTCACCTATGTCGTTCCTTACTGTTTGGCAGAACTAGAGGGAGCACATGGGGAGCGTGTCTGTTACAAAAGAAGAAAAAAACAGGGCTCAGTGTTATACTGGGAAATCAGTCCACTAAAAGCTGAACTACTTGCTTAGATGGTAATTCAAGTGATCAGCACACTGTGTCCTTCAATAACAGCCTGGCAGCTTGCTCATTAGTATAATACAGTATTAGTTTTCTCTTTCTGCCTTCCCACAACAGATTATTTTCTTACATAAAGCTGAATATTGTATTTCTCCTCCACTAATAGCACTGGAGGAGGGAAAAGGGCATAATTAAAGAGTACGTGTTATGTCTTTGTTTTAAAGGTTTATATTTTTACTTCAAAGGTCAGCAGATAACAGCTCATATACTGCATATTTCTCCAACACATAACATGGTTTATAATGGTTTCCATTTGAAGCTAGTCTTTTTTGCTTAGATGTACAATTGTGCACCCACAGGTTTTTTGTCAGGAAAATGTAAACCAATTGGTGAGTGGATTTTCAGAACTACTTAGTAGTGTTTTAATGTTGTTTCTTGAGTAAATCAAAGGTTTATCATTGTCTTTACTAGGATCATAGCAAACGAATATTAAGTGCTTTTGCAAATTCTACCCTGGATGCCTAAATATTGGATCTGTGATGGAAACAGGTACTTTTAACATTTAAATTACAGAAATTATTAAAATAATAGTTAGCACAAAACCATGCTCACAATTTCCTGGCACACTGCATGAGCCTAATTTTTAAAAATTCTGCTATGTTTCTGAAGTGCAAACTCACCGAGCACATCAAGAAGATCTGAGAAATACCCCTGTATGTATAATCTTTTTTCACTTATTGACTGAAATGATTGGATTTTTAAATACTGTTTCTTTTTTTATTATTAATATGTGACATTTTTACTCATGTTTATGGACAGAAATAATTGTGGATACTGCCAGGGCCATTTCAAGCGCTGATTAATAGATGCCTGTCATTGAGTCAGGCACTCAGATTCTAAACGGCCCAAAAGCACCTGCAGCCTCAAAGAAGAAATGCCCATTTAAGGCTGGGCTGAAAATCAAGCACTGATGTTTTAACATGACTTTCCATTTTATAACTGAACTTCTTCTGTTTTTATAAAATGCCACTAATCTATAACAGTTATGCACCACTGTGAAAGCATACACTTTTAGAATACAGCGTATCTAAACCAAAAACATCTTTTAAAGCCAGCATCACAGCTGGCACCTTTGTCAGCAGGCACAGTAGAAGGGCCAAGAACTGCTGCTGATTTCTAGAAATTCACGTGAGTTGGAACCTCCAGGATTCAAAATGCTTGTCTGACTCCTTTCTCACCTTAGAGTTGGTCAGTGGGGTGTCAAATATGTGCTTGATCTCCTTCTATCAAGGGAGATGACTGATTCTTTTCGTGGTGCTTGTTACTATTTTCTTCTTGTTTTTCTTAATTATTTGGCATGAACTACAGCCCATCTTAAAACCATTACTTGACTGGGATTCCTTTCTTTCCATTTTGTTACTTCTGCACTCCAGGGGATTTCCTTGAGGAAGCTAATATCTTTCGTAGGTTGCTGTAGTGACACAGGATCCAAGTTTCTTTGTTAAGAATTTCCATAACTCATTCAGTCACAGGCGGTGTTGGTACTGTTGGCTAAAGTTATTTCCTCCCTTTCTAGCAAGTCACCTTTACTTTTTGAGGGTAATTACACTGAAGAAAAGCCCCCATCATGTTGACTTGATTTGGCAACACTTTATCTTATTACCATGATCTCTGTTGGGAAAGATGTTTTCTGTATGGCTCATTGCATGGATCCTGACTCAGCCAGGGATGATTATTATAACATTGATACTAGGAAAATAATTAGGAAACCAAGCAGACAAACTAACATTATAACAATGTCTATGAGTTATATTGTGTATAGTTGCCTAAGAGAAGAAAAAGGCATTGAAAGAGTCTTTACGTTTATTGCCACACATACCTCAGAAAATTACGATGTGGCAGTAGCAACATTTGTGGTCATACAAAATTTTCAAAATGTGCAGGGGAAACATGGTAGAGCTTTCCCTTCTTCACAGAAGCTGTATAACATGAAGGATAATGGTGTCTTAAAAGTGCTGTTGGATTTCTCACAGACCCAAAGGGTGAATTGTAGATGTGGGGAGTCTGCGCCTGTTCATTCTTCTTCATTTCCTTTAAATGCTGTATGTACGACTCACTTTACGTTGTTGGCACTCTCTTCTTATGAATCCAAAGATCACATGTGTAACATGCAGACAGAAATAAATCCTCTAGGTAAAAGAAAGTAGAAATTGGCTAAAGATCAAAGGTTATCCTCATTCCACTCCTTCCTTCGCTTTTATTATCCTGTCTAAATTTGGTCTTTTGTAGAGAGGATTGGGTGGTTGTTTTTTTTTTTCATGAGGAAAGGTTGCGCTTAAATGAGAGTTTAAGGTTTTATTTGTTTTTCAACTCCGTATGTAATTTGAACCACAGTGTAGTTACTTTGCTAGAATCAAACCTGCAGTTCTTAAAGGGTATAGAAGATTGTGAAGTGGCTTAAGGAAACAATATTTCATCTCATGTGTATTGTGATCATCTATAGATTAAATGACAAATAGATCTTTTTTCTTTTTTTTTTTTTTTCCCTCCAAACAGCTAAACCAAATCTGGTATCATTAAGGTCCCTATTCTAAAAACAGTTGGGCAAATGATTAACAAAGCCCTAAGATGTAAATGGAACTAATTGTGTGGTTGCTTGTTTGCCAGATCAAGCCTTAAGTCTGTGTCTTGGAAAATTTCTCTAGAAAACATGCTTGTAATTTTCGTAGTTTTTAATTTTTGATTACGTTCTTCACTGGAACATAATAAAAAGATGTTGATTTTCCTGTCTTCATAGAGCCCCAAGCTTTAGCAGGTACCTTCTAAATGCTTTATTTAAGGCTATGAAATGCACTGGAATGAGTAATGATCATCAGTAGAGCAACTAAAACAGACCAACTAGAAAAGTTAAGAACAAGATGCAAAGGGTATTTAACTTCAATAGTTTCAAAGCTTTACTTATCATTACTCACTTAAAGGAGATTAATCAAAAACAATAGCTGTCCCAGGAAACTACCACAAAACTTCTCTCCAAAATCTTGTCTCCAAATTAACATTTTTTCTTGCAATTGCTTCTTGTCATTAAAACTGAAATAAATTAATTTTACTTGAATCATGGGTGAAAACTTTGTGGTAGTGTTTATGTAGTTATAGATCACCACATAAAATGAAGTACCATCATTTTTGGCTGTGGTACAGAATTGCTTAGAACATTGTTGGTCAGGAGTGAGCGATACTGGTAGAGACATCTACGAAATTCTGGACAGTTTCAACTTATACCAAAACCTTGAATCAAAGTAAGTGATCCAGTTGTTAGAGCTGCCTCTAAAAACACTTCAAAATAGAGCTAAGAGGTAACATATGTTTCCACTATTTTTCACTCCATGGTTGTACATTATACTCAAACCGCAAAGACAAAGGAAGAAGCAATTTGTAAATAAAAATTTCATTTGAAAAATACAATTACTTTTAATTACAGCTTAACTACAAATATTATTTGTCATATTGATGCCATAAGTGACCAGGGTTATGTCAGATATCTCTAAATAAGTCGGGTATATGTTGCACTGATGTGCAAATAGGAAGAGAATCTGGGGTGATAACGGTTAATGATGGTAAGAAGAGAGACAACCTCATGTTTCAACTAATCTCCAGCTATTAGGGATCAGCATGAGGGACATTATCTCACATCTGCCTCATACAAAATTCCATATACCTAACTCCAAAGCATCTGGTGTGGGCCATAGTCAGAAACAGGATACTGGACTAAATATATTCCATGCTCCCTGTGCAATATCCTTGAGCTTTCTACATTCTCATGCAACAGATGTGAAATATGCCAGTAATATCTGTTCTGCTTTAATTATTTACACTACTGTATTTGAATACTAGGTTTTGGTCACCTAACCAAGCAATTGCTGAAGCTAGCGGATGGTCGTGTGGTGCTGGCACTGGAGGGAGGACATGACCTTACTGCCATCTGTGATGCATCTGAAGCCTGTATAAACGCCCTTTTAGGAAATGAGGTAAAACATAAATTATAGTAGGTGGAGAGAATGATCCAAGTTTGCTGAAACTCCTATCTTTGATTTTCTTTTAGTAACAATAGCATCAGTCCTTTATTCATTTGGTATAAAAACCACACAGTTTGCATATGTCTTAGAAATGAGCAGACCTCAGATGAGCTGGTTTCGATAAATACCACTAAATTAGATGATTATATAAATCCTTTAGTGTTTGCCTAAAGTATTCCCAGTTCTGAGTAAGATTTAATACTTCAAAATTGCTTTTGGTGATATTGTGCTGAATACCAGACTTGACATCATTGGTAGTCATTGATGTGCATATCATCTATAAGGATCAGACCTTCCAGCCAACTATTATGGAAAAAAAATGGCTTTTGCAAGGTATCTGGTAGTCTTAGGAACTGGATATTGCAAAACCACATCTTTTGCAGTATTTTGATACTTCAACTGGCATGTGAAAGAATATATTTCAGAGGCTTTTGAAATTGAAGAACATTAATAAAAATGTGTCCAAGACTTCAAAAAAAATTTTTTAAGTTATAAAGTAAGATTCAGGTTGATCTGTGTGTAATTTAAATGGAGTGTCCAAGATTTGTCAAACTCTATATATTATTTAAAAACTTTTGAGAGTGGACTATCAGACTAAGTAAATATGAGTATGTGCTATTTATGTAAACAAACACAAGATAAGCATTCCTATTAGTGAAAATTGGTTTTGTTGTCCACTAGACAATATCATTTCTCCTACAAATATGGTGAGAAGGAAAATAAGCTTGCCGAAGGTGCAGTCAAAATCATTTATGAAAGGGCAAAAGCCTTTATCATAAATTGTGAATTTTGCAAGATCTTATTATAAAGTGAAGTGTGTTACTTTTTTTTTCCCCAGGGGAAGTGGTAATAGCTATATAATCTCTCCAATCAAATGTATGAGTGCCAAACATCAAGCTAGTCTGCCAATTCCCTTCCACTTCAAGACTTCATACCTATGTGAATATATGTGAAGTAATGTGTCTTCTGATGGATATTGGATAGAAGGATTTTCTAAATGTTCTTTTTAACCTTTGCTTTTTATCTTTATGACCCATTGAGAAAAATATTTTTACGCTTATCTTTTTTTACATTATACATGCAATGAATAAAGTGATAGCTTTTCAAATATATTCTCAGAAATGTAAAATACACATGTCCACAAAAAAGAAAAAGCTTTCATTGGGTTTTATCTACTATCACCTTTGACAAGTCCCATAAGGAGGGTTTTCCAGTGTGGTGACATGCACTATTGAAATAGATGTTCAGCTCAGTGTTGGTCCTTTTATTTAGGTGCTGAAATATGGATTACAAAACCTAGCTTGAGGCATTTGACAATCTTAGTGAATGCAGCATTGCCTTCCTGATCAGCTACCATTCCAGGGCACTCTCATTGATATTCTCTGTCGTCATCTTCCCTGCGGTAGTATCTTATAACATCAGTGGCTTTTCGTAGCCTTTCTAAACCCATTGTCTGAAATTTGCACCCTTGTGGAACTAATGCAAATGGTACAATGCTGGTGATATGATGTGTCTTCTTCTGTGTAGGTGCCTGGGTCCCTCTATCCGGGTATGACCATTTGGTGGTGCTACCCATTTATGAAAACCGCCTCGTTTTGTTTTAACACTGTATCACACCCAACTGCTGTTTCTGCTGTCACTGACTAGCCATTATCTGAGAAAAAATACCAACTGTGAGAAAAAGGAATGGGATAAGTGTACTGGAACAGAGACGTCTTCCATTTTATTTTAGAGTAACTAGAGACCAGGAAATTAGATAAATTGTGAGTCTATCTGTTTGCAAAATATAGCAAAGCAAATTTCAGGAGAGACAGAAATTCAATAACTGAGAATTAAGACAAACATAACCATGCAGCCATTTTTAATTCAGTTGTAAAAGAACATGATTATTAATAACTTGAAACATCTCATGCAATAAGCATTATTCTCATGTGCTCTTACTCACAGCTTTGTCTTCAGGGACATGCATTAAATGGCCTGGTGCAGCAGAATTTCAAAGAGAAAATATACTGTGGCTGCTAAGAGAAAAATACTCCAGAGAGGATGTTGTTACCAACACTACCACAAGAAACTGATGTTTGCTTAAAAGAATAAGTAAAGGTGTTGCCGAGGAGCAGACACTAATGAGGAAGTCTGATACCTAGTTAGCAGTTAGAAATCAGCACATCTGTTGACATCTATAGATTTATGGCAATCTACACCACATGGCCGATAGCATATACATTGCTTGATTTCAGCATAATATTAATGAACTTGCACAGCAAACTCCAAGCGTGTTTCTGCCAAGGACAGAAAACAATGTTTTTCTTCAAACGACCAATTATTGTAATTTGAGGATGCATTCTTCCTTGAATGCAATTCTTTGCAGGTGATTAATAGGATAATTATAACTTATTATCTGCCCTTCACTTTTACAAATAATGGTATGTAGTGCAACTCCAGTTTAAAAACATTGGCAGGATGAACTTCAGTTTCTAAATGCTACACATGTAATTGAACTCAAATTAGAAAGGTTGGGAAAGGCCTTTGTAAGGTACTCTGCAGTTTGTCAGATGTATTTATTCATGTGCTGAGGATTAGAATTCATAAACATTTTGTAGGATTTTTTTTAAAACTTTTTCTTTTCTTCTGTTGCTTTTGGCCACAACCTGTCAATACAGAAATTCACTGCTTCATATGTTCTATTACAAGCAGAATAACGTTTTTAAAAAAAGAGTAATTGTAAAACTAGCCACAACTTCCAGCTGTCATGGAGAGCTGGTTTGATATGCAGAGGTAACATCAAACTTACAAGTGAAAAATATTTTCTTTTCTTGTTTGTCTCTGAACACTGAGAAGGAAAATAGGTTGACATCCAAAATAGATATATTTTGCTCTTAGTTATGTGTGGCCTGTAGTACAGTGATCTGTTTAGCAAGAAAACTTTTTATTCTTCTCTTAGCAAACGCAAATGGAGCCACTAGGAAAAGAATACACTGTCAAGTTAATCTTCTTTAAATAATTTGAGCATGGCACCGGAAATTCCTGCATACAGTTGTTGATTTTGAAGACTAACCAAAAAACTATTAAAAAGGTCTCTTTTTCTTGGGAGAGCTCAGAATTTAAATGAGCTATCAGCCCTATCTGTGTGTGGTCAATACTTTTGAACTTCTCTGCAGAAGTACTTTTGAACAATCATTTCAAATTTTGACAGAAACACAAATGGGATCATAATTGTTGATTTTCTCTGATTGGAGGTACTGCTATTGTTGTTTCTTTCTAAGACCCAGTTCCCTAAACAGAGGTGCCTCGTGCCTTTTTAGGTACCTTAGGGTATCCAGGACATTGGCCCAGGACTGGTAGACCTAACACAGAATTTACAGGAGATCCACACCTTTTCTGAGTGGCAACTGTAGATCAGGCAAGACACCCTATAGTATCTGAAATGGCTCAGTCTAGTTTGGTTGTGTGAATCCCTCCTTAACTGATGAGAAAGCTAAAAAGGAAATTATAGAAGTAAAGATAAGGATAAATCTTATAAAGACAACATCATTAATTAGAAAGTTTATATATTAAAATATTTTTTAAAAAAGATTTCAAGATCTCAGGTTTTCTTGTCTGTACTTCCGTGTACAAGCAGAAAATTTCCATGTCACTTTGAGAAAAATCCATTTGACCATTTGCAGAGCTAATTAGGAAGCACTATAGGTTATCTCCTTGGAAGGAAATCTTCCTAAGAGGTGAGAAGAGATTAAGCAGCTGGATTCCCTTGAAATCCAAAATGAAAACATGGAAATCCTTCTGGCAGGTAAAAAGGCAGGATGAGCATCAGTTGCTTTAAAATATCCCTGAATTTTCTCGACATGACTACAGAACTTGTCCATTAAAAGAGCATCTGTCAAAACAAAGGAAATGATGGATTCAGATAATTAGAAAAGAGACATTGCTTTTCAACCTAAGCATTTCTGTGATGATCATATACTCTTCTGCTTAAAATTCAATTCTCTCATTTGTTGTGGTAGTCTAAATGATCTACAATTTTTCATAGATTGTTTGTATAGTTTCAAATACTTACTTTTAAAACATATATAGATATATATATTACTTCAATTAAGAAAACCATTAAATGTTAAGATTTGTATGTTGTTCCAAGAAGTGTGTGAATATTGGGTTGAATATTGAGATTTTTCCCCAAAATCTTTGTCATGGAGAATGGAAATTCCATGCTATTTTGTCCGTCCTAGCTTCATTGCTGTAAAAACCTCTGCTATGCCTTTCAGTGCCAGGTGGTGGTGAGTAAGGCTACTCTATACATACAAGGATAGGTTCTGGTTTCTTTCCTCCAGATTACTTTTGAAGAGGCACTACTTGGATTTAAAAAGCCCTCAGGGATAAACTTTCCTTGAGTTCAGTATCCTAAATCCTGCAGCTTATTTCCAACATAACTGCGTTCAGTTGGGGGTTCTTCTGTAGCCAGAGAGAATGAGGAAGTATTCCTTCAAGCACACAACTCTTTGAGTCAAAAACTAAGGATTTGGTTCTTCCTTTATCCCATCCCTTTTCAAGCAGCAAGATGGGATATTTCCATGGGACATAGAAGTCAGTCTAACATCACGGTCCCTCCAACCTGTCTACAGGTTTGGGCAGTGTCTCTTAGCTCAACATGGTACAGCAGTTTGCTGTGGTCTATAACAAGTGATAATTAGTCACAGACAGGGTCATGCTCTTCTTTGCATAGAGGAAACAGAGAAGTGCAGTCCACAGTGTGCTCTGCCCAGCGGGACCCTGCAACAAAGGCACACAGAGGATGCATGTCTGCTCTCATTGACTGTGGCAGCCAAGGCTGAATTTGGCCCTAAGTGCAAAAACATTTCTAAGTGACTAAATTTAACATCTTCTAGTAAATATTCTTCTGGCTTGAATTTCAGTCTGAAGCAGAATTTGACAAAACATTGTGATTGGTTGGCTCCCAAGCATGCTTGAAAACTTATACTGGACAATTTTCTTGCAGAGTGTGAAGTATGTGCTTCTTTCTTGCAATCTGTTGAGCTGGCACTTAGGAGGGGATGGTAATTTAAGTGGAAAGCTCATACTCTGCAGCTTTCCTGCTGCTGATGAAAAGTTGGCATTTTTCTCCTTTGTGGAATTCAGTGTGAATCTGGGGCTGCTTGCCAGCTACGCAGTGAGCTCTGCCAAGAGGGCCTGGACTGCGTTAAAAAGGGGTTATTTGCCGGAACAGGTAAGCATTTCTCTCTCCAAAATGGAAATATTCATGGAAGTGAATATGGCCTGAGATCAGTTTTAAATTGCATGGTCACAATCTCACATCCTCATTGTTAATCTGAGCATAATACTAGAAAATAATTAACCCTGAGTCTAAGCCACCTGTCAACTGTTGCGTGCATAAACCCGGAGTCCAGAAATTGGCCCAGAAATAGAGAATTAGGTGGAGCAGGAAACTGGAGCAATGTACGTGCCAGAGGTCAGCATGGTGACATCAAAGCCCCCAAGGTGGGCAGTGCTAGTCAGGAAGTGGTTTGGCCAAGGAAACAGAGAATATTCTGATGCCAAAGTTCCATATTTCCAAGGCATCCCTTATTTTTTCTGGGACTGATAGGTGCTAATGATCCTTTGTGCCTTTGAACCTATTCTCTACTGAAAAATGACTCATGTACAGCATTGTAACAGTGGATCACAAAAATACCTGCCTAAAGTGCTTATATATAAACAGAAAATGCAGACATTTTGACAAGATTGCTAATATAAGAACACAGAAGACCTGTGAGATCTTTGAATGTTGTCCTCTGTAATCATAGGCAACCCTAAGAGCAACAAAGCCCAGTCTTGGTGCTGATGTGCTTCTTGCACTGTTTATCTGAGAAAGGGAGGTTGTAGCACTTCCTCTTGCAGCCTAGGCATCCCTGAGGAGCCTGCCCGCCTTCTCCCCTTCCTCTGCTTCTGTCAGGACTCTCCATGCTCCTTACCTTATGCTTGCAATTGCCTCGCTTTTCAGTTATCTCTAACTGCACTCTGCAACAACCTGCACTGAAGCTAATTTTGGTGCTTTAAAACGTGACAGTGATGAGGACAATACAGATATTGCTCAATTTTCTAGATTTTCCAGCTCAGTACGGGGTGCTGTAGTTTCAGATTCTCTCCACGTTCCCAAGGATCATTTCAGATCGCCTTCTGGGCACATGAAATTTCCATCATGAATTCCTTCTTCAAACATTTGTTGATATGCCTCTGGCAGACTTTGGCAGCCCAAGTGATTTTTGCCCGTTTACATTGTTTTTCCTACTTCAAAAATGATTAGTGGACACAGTTTCTACTTTCATCTGCTACTTTGGGCACAAAAGCCCAATTCAGCCATGTAAAAGCTTTGAAAATGTGACCCTTTGTGTCTGGTCCAAACTGTCTCTCCAGTGGTTTGGTTATTTCTGCACTGACTTGAGCTGTTCTTCTCTGAAAGATTCCTTTCCTGACAGTGTATTTCCAGTGCTCTTTTCAGCTTCCTCTCTGTTAGCCTCCAGATTTAATAGACTTCATGATCTGAATGCCAATAAGTGTAGGAGGGAAGGTGATGGTGCCATAAATGCCAGGTGTAGAGTAATTTCTTTTGTTCACTGTTGGGTCTAACTGCTGATATTTTCCAGGGACACCCCTATGTCTATAGACTTGTATCCAACCAGTGGATAGCTGCCAACAGAAATCATTCTTTCAAATGCAGACAGTCTCGTTTCAAAGTGTATAGAAATAGCTGCCATAACCCACTGGCTTTGTTTCTGCAGTGTTTTTGTAACAGTACTGCATTTGGGCTGAACAGGGTACATGATGTAATGAACTTGCTTCTAGAGCCTGATAAGGTTTCCCTGATGTGGAAGAAGATCCAAGTTCTGCCTGGCTATCCCTAAGAGTGAAGAGGCAGAATAGCTCCAGAGCAGAAGCTGAACTTGGAATACAACATGAAACTTTTGTGGAAAAAAAATGTTAAGGAAATGATGAAACATGACTATTATATTCACATCACCTACAGATCTCTTAGTAGAGCTAACAGATGGAGTAATGATTGGGATAATTGTTGGATATCTGACACTTTTTCTTCTTTTCTTTAATAATTCTTCATCGTGATTTCTAAAAACACATATGCCATTTCTAAATATTCGTCTGATATGTCTAATATTCAAATGTAGCCTACTCATTAAACAATTTACTTCTGTTCTAATAAATAAAGAGGTGTCATTGATATATTAGGAAAAATCAAGACAATATTTCGGCTCCTGCAAAAATCCAGCTCTGAAGAAAGCTGAAGTATCCACCTTTTAATAGGAAATCTCCTCTATCTATCTCTGCATGAGTTGCTCCCAGCTTAATAATTTGTACAAGAGGTCTGCAGAAAGAATCTCAAGGTACTCAAAGGGCAAAACAAGATACAGCTCTCAGATCTTGCAGTCTGAAAATTCCATACCTTGTACCATTATTCCTACTGTTACAGCCTGGAGCTATTTTGTCCTGCTTCAGGGGAGTGAATTGTTTGTCAAAGCCTTAGGAATTAGGAAATTGTCAAAACAGAACCTTAAGCTAGCGTTCACTTCCCCTTCTGTGTTCCTGCACCCAGTACGACCAAACAGAACTTCAGGATTTTGTCTTCTTCCTGGCCGAAGGATAGATTGTTTTAAACAGAAAATAACAAGTGATAAAAGCAAGTGCTATTTATCTACATAACCCAAGGTATGGATTATTAAGATTATTATACAGATTATTGTTCTAAAACCCGTGAAGCTTGATCTGTTGGTGGGCATTTTCATAAATACGCAGTTTTCCCCCAGGTACCTGCAAGAGTTACCAAACAGAGTAACCTATGAAGATCGTGAAGTAAATGTGGTTTAAGAGTTGCAAATGTATCTGCAAATATTATTTTTATTGTAATTGTTCTCTTCATTCTGTTCCATGATATGTATTAGCAACAATCTTCCTTTGCAGTTTGGCCTCCTCAGTAACCAAGTAGAGTTGGGACCCAGTCAGATCCTACCAGCACTTCTATGCACACTTGCGTACTGCCCAGAATGGAGTGATTTATGCTATTTGAAAAAAAAAAAAAAAAAAAAAACCAAACAACATAGTGCTATTGTTTGTAGCCACAAGGAAATCTTCCAGCTGCAATCCCGTATGGGATTCTAAGGAAATAATGACATGAACAGCCCTATTCATTTTAGTTACCGGGACTCCAAAAGACTGGTGGTATTTGCAATGTCTTTATCACTGACAGGCATTCACTGCTGGTCATAATGGTAAGATCCCAGAAGTTCTGGGATTTGTAGCTGAGCTTGCTTAAAATAGCACCACTAAGGGAGTATCTGCATTGCAGTTACTTCCCACTTTGTGTACTTGGGTCAAAGCTGATTTTATCTACTTGGTGGGTAGCAAGGCAAGCAGTAGCAACCCAGAGGACAATATATGGTGGCTACTGAACTATTAACTTCACAGAGGAAGCTCCTTGGGTGGGCTTCACTTGACCTAGTTTAAAGTAGACCCAGGCATGCTTAAGAAGGGAGTTTTGTCTGCAGTACAGATGTCTCCTGTCAATGGTGGCCGAACTTCCTTAGCTTTAGAGAAGAGAGATTGGTATTGATATCACTCTTCCTTGTCTACCTTGACACGGTTGCTACTCCTGGCTCCGCAGGCAGCAGCTTTAGCAGGCTATGCAGGGAAGCGGAAAAACTGGCAGGACTCTAAGCATAGTTCAAGGAGAATATAGTTATTACAGTACAAGAAGAGGCATTTAGCCCAAGCAATCTTTTACCCTTTTTCTAGGAGAAAATGTATGGAAGGTGGACAAAAAAGCACATGTGGATGAATTTCAAAATACAGTTTGCTTGGTATATCTACCCATTGCAGGGCAAAAATAACTGTGCAGTAACTGAACATCCTTCTGCTAATTTACTATGATGCAGTCCTACTCAAAGAATTAGAACTGGCTAATTAAAATGCAGCTGACTCTATAAAAAACTTACTTAGAGAACTCTTGCTTCTGATCTGCATACCCATTTTTTATCTACTACTTTATTTGAAATTAATGCAAAGCTAGTAAAAGCAGCTGTGTTTTATGGTTTTCCCCTATAAATCCTAAAATGTGTAAGATGGTTAGATGTAATAACACCAGAAAAATAAAGATACTAAAGTGCACACTTCAGTTCCAGTGTGGCTTCAGCAAGGTTTTGTTTGGAGTGCCCAGCTGCATATACAGACGCAGTGGAATTTGGTTTGTGAGGAACCTACAAAAATTACACAAATAACTAGCATTTTTTTAATGAATAATACACAGACATGCACCTGCTTCAGAGACTCCATAGATTAGTCTTGCAGCCAATAGAAAAGCCCCTTGGAATTCAATTACATGGCTGGAAAACAGAAAACAAAATCATGGCTATACTTTTAGAACTGATACCAGCAAAACGTTAACCAGTTCTTGGGCTGAGCTTTTCCTGAGGATTAGATTGTTTCAGTTTGTTTTACTTCCCTGTGGCTTATTGAAAATTTATATTATTCTATTGTATTCTCTTCTTGCAGCTGGAGCCTCTCCCAGAAGATATTGTGCACCAAATCCCCAATATGAATGCAATAGCTTCTTTAAAAAAGACCACTGAAATTCAAAGTATGTTTCTCAGTTTGGGTTGGTGGGTTTGGGGTATTTTTTTATTATTAATTAATGTCATAGTCATTAAACTATTGTTTCAGAGGAAAGAGCGGGCAAATGTTTTATGTATAAACCAACATGCTGTGTCTAATATATATACATATACATACATGCTTTTATTTTTGTTTCTTTGACATCTCTTAGTTTCTGCTATGTATTTAGCCCTGAAAAAAATAACTCATTGAAATTATTTAGAGCTTTCTGATTCCTGAATATTCCCAAATCTTTCCATTCCAGAGCAGCTTGGATGAAATAGGTGTTTGTCAGTGAGGGACAGGAACAGACAGGTAAATTAGAACTCTAACAAATAGTTCCTTCGGATTCTATTTGTGCAGCCCTTTACAAGGTACTCACTTTGAGATGTACAGGAGCTTGAGATAGAGTTAAAAAGCTCAAAATGGGCACTGACCCATGGAACAACACTAACAAATCATGGTTTTATTCTGTTTCTGGTGCAGAGGGTACTTGATTGCTTCACTTGTGTGCCCTGACCCCAACCCTTTACTACTCAAATGCTTTATGGCATTTGCTCTCGTCTCTCTGTAAAATTTTCTCTTTGCCGTCAGTGGCCTTAATCCAACTGAGCAGACTTCCCTTAAATTCTCTAATCTTCTGCTATCTGCCATTTTACCGAGGCAGTGGGAGCTTCCTGACTTCTACTCTTTGCTGGCTCCTTAACAATAACAAATGGCTAACAAATGTTTTGCTTCATGTTAGATGAATCACAAATAATTGGGATTCATTTGTATAAAATAAATGCAGTTTTTAAAAGGGACACCATGCATTATCCATTGATCATGCAGCAATTAATCTGATTTTAGCTGTAAAGTGACAAATAAAATTCATTGTAGGTATATAATTCATCCTTCATATACAGTAGTCACCCAGATACGCAAATGCTCTAGGTAAACAGCTGTATATGATAAATTCAAGTAAATCGTCTGTATATGATAAATTCCAGTAAATCATTTTTGCTGGGTGGTATGTCCTCTGGTAGCTCATGAGTTAGTATCTTCCTTAAAATTCCCTGTTAATGATCTGGAAGGAAATTAAGCAAATTAAGGAAACTCGTACTATGCAAGATAGAGCAGATTTGCAAATGATAATAAGGACAAAAAGCTGAATACAGGCCACAGGCATTAAGAAAGAATATGTAATTCTGTTTGAAATAAGACACGTATTTAATGAAAATGCATCTGAAACAAAAAAAAGGGTGAATTGAGAAAATAAAAAATTAATACTGGCTCCAGAAAGGCTTAGTGTCTTAGAAATACACACAAATGATGACAGTTCAGAAAGAAGGAATGGATTTAGGAAGAAATATATAGTGTGTCTCTAAAAACATAGTTCAGAGCTCTGCAGAGTGGCTTAACTTTGCTTGTTCAGAACAAGCTTAGGTTTGAACTGAGCTGGTACAGTCACGGCAGTCCAGTGGGCTGTTCTTCTGAAACGTAAGTGGGGCTGCCCAGGGTTTGGTGTTATTTATCCACAATATTCTGTCTTTTCTTGCAGCTATTACCTAAAAGGATATGCATACATCATTTTGTCTGGAGAGAGACAAAGTATTAGAGAGGAATATGCTTGGATGATGGAAAGGAGCATTGAGGAAGTTTAGTATAGCTTTATGGAGGATGCGTATTTAGATGGAATTAAGAGAAGCAAGTGCATGTTGAATATTATAGAGAGTTATGCAGGCTGAAAAGCATTAGGCTGTGGGGTAGCACCTCGAGGGATACTGAGAAAGCCTGATTTGTTTGGATGATTGCTTGCATGTATACTGAGTCTGTATTTCTGTGATCCAACTTTGATAATGAATATTAGCAATATTTTAGACAAAAAAAGGCCCTCCTCTGAATTTGCTGCAAAAAACTGAAGATACAGTACTTAGACAATGAGAGGAAACAACTTTTTTCTAACTAGAATGGAATTTGTATAAATGTTTTGTTTGTGACAGTGATACAAAGCTCCTTTGGAAATGTAATACATTTGGAAGTAGTAGTTCCCACACCCATGTAATATGCTATTTCTAAACAATCCTGTTCACTAGCTTGCATACCACCCCCAAACTGGTTTTTTCAAGCAAGCCATGGTACAGCATGTCCAAATCTATCTGTGAAAAGCAATTACAAATGCCTGTAAGAGTGACAGAAACATTCACTTTTATTATTTCCTGGTAGTAATCAGTGCTCCCACAAATCTTTGAGGGAGACTTAAGCACATTTTCATGCTGAAAGCCAAAGCATACCTAGAAGACTGATTTGGTTTCATTGTTTGTTCTTGCAAGCCGTGGTTGCTCTTCAAGTTTTGTGTGAATGAAACCAGCAGTATGCTTCATTCTTTCCCCTGAGCTCCACCAAGTTCTTCTCAATGAGTGTAACAGGACCGGTAGAATTTCACATTCCAGTATAGCACAGCAGAAATGACATTTTCAGAGATGTGAGCAGTTTGAGGCAGATGCTTTTTGAGCTCATTTAATTGTCAATCCACAGCATACGTAGGGTTTCTAACAAAGCTCCTTTGCAGCTGCATGCTCTGATTGCCTCTCCGTTCCACAAGACTTTACCTGCAAATCTTTTGGTTGAGCTCACATGCAAGCCCTGTATGTTTTGTGCACAACACATAAATGTTGTTCTTTATAAAAAGAAGCTTATAAAGCTGTTCTGCTTGTGTTTTTAAGGTACAGCTTTCTGACTTTAAAGAAAAATCTACCACTGCTTTTTCACAAGCATCAGAAAGCCCTCTTTGCATGAGGTACCCGCTGCTACCTGGATGCTATTCCTAATTGGGACTGCTTTAAAATTTCCTCCCACAAACCACAAACACCCTGCCATGCACTCCCCTTCTCCAAGACCCTCCACTGCAGCATAGGTGCTGCCACCTGCTTCCTGGCCTGACTCTGCTCTCCCTCTTCATCGCTGAAGCCCCCCTCATAACACAGCAATGCAGGGAAACAAAGAAAATCACAGATCGCTTGGGAGTGAAGGGCAGTTGAATGGGCACAGAGAGCCCACTAATATGCTTGAATTGGCCCTGAGTTTTAATGTTACAAGAAAGTCAGGATTCAGGGGGCAGCTGGTGTGTAAGCCTGTGTGTGAATGAACGAATGCGATGTAGCAATCCTCACTGATGCTGTTTTATTGTTGCTGCAGGAGAGCAGCACAGTGGTAGCTGGTTGCTAATATTTTATTTTATGAATAAGAGCCCTTGAAAACTCCAGCAGTGAACATGGGTTCATTTCTTTTATAGGCAAGAGGGGGTATTATTCCCATGCCAACAGATTTGATTTTCTTGCACATCTGTTTCTGCAACAAAAACCCCACCCATTCTGCGAACATTTAGCTCATAAATTATAGGGTTTGAATTGGGTGTATATTGCAAAGACTGACTTTTGCACATATGATCTGTGAGAACATTGTGGAATGCTCATATAACTTTTTTGTTTGTTTTTAGTGTATTTTTTAATGAATAGAGAATATGGTTTCTGAGCACAGTAATAATAGAGAATATTTTTGTCTTGTTTTTATAAAATTTGCCAGGCTCCAATCATTGAGCCTACTGTTATGTACATAACTTTTTAGCTGTGTCTTTCATGCTTTTGGAGCAAAGCCAACCTCCTAACACTTAATCTCAACTTTGTAGGATACTTAATACACTTTACATTTTATCCCCAGAAGGTCCCTGTTATTTAAAGATTCTGCTAACTACTCAAACGTGCACACTATTAGAGTTCAAAGAAACATGCTGGCCATGCTCGCTGGTTGTTCTAGCACATTGACTTGAGCTTTCATCTTGCAATGATGTTTTTGAATAAAGACATTTTCAGGCTTTATTGACAGCTGCTTTCTCACTGGAGGGAAAAGTTCATCTTTCGAAAAGCCTGAAACTGTGTTGAGAGCTGTGTTACCAAAGAGGGAGTTTTCAGCAGCCTTTGTGCAGCACAGGCAGCACCACCGCTGGCCTGGCCTCCCAGCTGTCAAAGCCTCCAGCTACCCTCCGGATAAGCACCTCGACTCAGTCCGCTGCCCAGCTGCCAAAATCCTCCTTTTAGCCCTCGGAAAAGTCCCCTACTTGATCCCCTCTCTTTCACAGCTGTTGAAACCCTCCATCTAATTCCCAGATAAGTACCCTGACCCAACCTCTGCAGCAGCTGCTGGAAGCTTCTTGCTAAACACCGAATAAGCTCTGGTCCAGAGCTCCCAGCCTTCCCAAAGCTCCTAATTTCCAGGTGTCATCCACCTGGCAATTAGTGAGTGCTTGGTGGATTACTGGACTGTAAGAAATATATATGTAAATTCTTACTTGTTCACCTGGTAACCACTAATCAACCTCTGTTTTTTAATAGGACTGCAGTAGCAGACCATTTTATATGTTGATGATGAGTGACCTGCCATTATTATTTATGTTGCTCGAGAAGCTTCTTACTGTCTCTTCTGTTGCAGGCAGAAAGCTGAGAATACTCATGATTTTAATCCACTGCTGTGTTTTTACACAGCAAACCAGAAAGCTCTATTCCTTATGATATCTGGCAGCTTTCCAGCAGCAGCCAGTTCATATATGAAAGTTTTAAATAAATTATTGTTCTAGTATACGCCCTGAGGTTGGAGGAGAAAGAACATCCAGGACTAACAAACCTGATTGTTCTGGCAACATCACTTCAGTCCGAGCTGGCATTTCTGACTTTTTTCCTTTTCAATACAGTGCTGTGTGAGCACTTTGTACAACAATGTTCGTTTTTCTAGTCCCATTTACTGTATATGCATCAACTGTCTGCCATATCAGAGCTTCTAGGTATTAACCCTGCCCTGAACTCCCTTCACCTTGCGTAGATAAAGCCAATACCTTCTCTGACAGTATGAGTTCATTAGCCTGTGTGTTACTCCTCCAGTTTATTACCTTCTGGGGAAGGGTGTGACACAGCCCTTGGAATGAAAGCACTTTCCAACTTGGCATTCTTAGGTTCAGAAATATACCTCTTCACTGCAGTCTGAAATTTCAACTGCACTGCTTACACCGCAGTGATTTTAAATTATAATCACCCAGTGTTGAACTAAGTGATTACTATGCTTGTACCACCATGCTAGCTAAAATTCCCATAAATTATTATGTGTGTTTTCCTTAGGCAAGTACTGGAAGTCAGTGGAGCCATACTCTGTGCCAGTGGATTGTGCTCTGGCTGAGTCTCAGAAACAAGAGAGGGAGGAGACAGAAACGGTATCTGCTATGGCCTCTCTTTCAGTGGATGTTGAGCAGTGTATCCCTCAGGAAGGCAGCAGGTAAGCATATACAATTATAGCAGAGAGCAAGGTTTTCGTTCCAGTCACATGAGATGAAGATTGCTAGACTAAGGGTTGTTTCAAAATTATCTGCTAATTGAGGTACCTGGAATTTTTCATCCCTGGATTTGAGTCCACTGGAAGCAGAGGTACTCTATGCTAACAGGGTTTTTTTTTGGTGTGTGTAATTCTTTACGAAGATTCATGATTAGTACAAGAACCTTGTTTTCTTCCCATGTCTAATGCTCTCCACTACATAAAGAGTGCACTATCCATATGCAGAAAATAGACATGATCAAGTGTAATCAACCATATTCTTCTTACTGGAAGCTATTCAAACCTGGTTTAGTTTTAATTTTCTAGGAAGGCATTTAACACACGGTCAGATAAATTTAATAAGGACGGACTTAAATCATTATTAAATGATATTAGGCAGACATAAAAGTTACTTCCCTGGAAGCAATGGAACGATGCCAGTATAAAACTTAAAGCAATCCTGACCAGGATTAGGGCCAACATTTTCTGTGTACCAAGATGAAGGTAGACCAGCAATGAATGGGAAAGCTGTTTTTTCTAGCTTGTCAGCTGCTTTTTACATTAATGAAGATTGCTTTCAATTTCACAAATTGAGAAGATGATACAGTAACTGCTGTTGTGTTTTTTGCCAATTAGAGATGAAAAAAATGGACAGCCACTGAATACTGTGTCATCTACAAAACAGTATTTCTTCAAAGAGTTGTTAGGAATCAGAAAAGCCACTGCAGAAGTTCTTGGAGTTTCCTTTTTACTCGTTTTAAGGACAAATGTTCCTGGCCTTCACTAGTAGAGGAAGACCCAAAATGCAGTGGAACCATTCAGTTTCCATCACACAGAGAAAACAGGGGTGGGAGGAGGAAAAGAGAAAAAAGCCTTATAAGGAGACTCGTCAGCTCCCTGCAGGCTGTGGAGCAGAGCTGTGTAACAACAGGAGAGAAAGGAGGGAGCTGTGGGTAGGCAGAGCGGTGTTGGGAGTGGAGCCAGAAGGATCCATGGCTCCTGCATTGTGACAGCTACTTGTTTGATTCAGTTCTTGCCTCCTGCGTTGGCTCTTTTAATCAGAACTGAACTGATAGGCATCCAGGGAAATAGCGCAGTGCTAAAAGCTACGGATGTGTTTGGGAATGAACATCTCTCACAACAGTGGGAGCGCTCATCTGTCAATGAGTTAACAGACATGGCTCAAAGGGACACACAGCGAGCAGAGCTAGCTAGTAAAGTTTGCAGTATTTACATAATTACCTTTCCAATTGTAATTCTATTTTAATATGCTATGGCTATTGTTGTGCTAGTATTATTGCAAACAAATCCATAAAAGCCTAGGGAAGAATCCATGATGAACGGGAGACATATTTTAGATTTGTGAGAGTGCTAATCAGTGTTCAGCTAAGGAATAATGTAAGGTTTGTCATATAAATTTGTGACGGTTACAAGACACTTCTGCTAGCCAGGGACAGAAAGGTGCCTGCTCATGTGTGCATAGCTCTGAAATACAAAGAATTTTAGTTAAAGTGTTGGAAGTAATGCAGTCAAACAAAGCGAAACTTTAAATTGTCTGAAAAAGGGTGTGGTTAATTTTGTGTGTTTTTACATTGCTCAGAATAACCAAGAATTTTGTTTGTTATGCGCCTCCACTTGCTTAAAACTATAGCCAGGGAGAGCAACTGCTGATCCTACATGATTTGAACAAAATAACCCTTTGACTAACGCTGCACTTAATTATTGTATTTATTACCTACCTACTGATAACCTGTGACAGTTTCCACCCATTCTGAAAATGGAATTTCAGGGCGGACCTGAGAGAAATGGAAAAAAACGGATGTGCTGAAATGTACACAAGTGGAATTCATGTGGCTGCCAGATTCATTACACTTCATCAGTTCTGGACTCTTATAGGGACGAATCCATTGTGATGAATTGTTCTGTGGAAAAATGGCTTCATTTGAAATATCTTCTGTGGTGCTGCAGAGATTTTTTCAGCAGCACAAAAAACCCCTATGCATGCATGCGTTCCTAAGTCTGTTTCCACATTCGTAACCCACAAAGAAGTCACCCGAAGCCAGATTGCCATCAGAGAGCGACAGGACAACATAAGTGCTGTCCCACTGGGCCAAAATTGATAGTTAGGTTTTCTGAGGCTTCGGGACATCATTCTCTTTGTTTTCTTCCTGCTG